ACGTGTCAACCGCTCGTTTATTAAAGAATGTAAACAAAATGCTTATAAATTGAAGCTATTTATACATCATGATCAATGATTTTGTTTAACACATGAGTACACGTACGATGAAGAGTATATGAGAAATGACGTATTATTTATTTTTTTCTCTGCAGAGCAGGGAAACTTCGGGTATTTGTTAACAGCAACAACAATATTGATACACGGCCAGACTAAAAAGAATTTATGCCGAGTCGTCGAGTTTTTCGTATGCTTTTGCACGCCTTGTATCAGCTCCATCCTGTGAAAAAGGGGTATCTTTATTCTTTATCCCATATATGATGATGTATAATGCAACACACTAAGACTAAAGATCATGATAAAAAATAATCCGTAATATAAAACATACAAGAACTGAGAAAAAAGAATTAATTTTAATTCTGCTAAAAAATTTGATTAAAAAAAATTGTACGGAGGACACTTTATTTTTTGTCTTCAGGCGTGCTCTTCCTTTTCACTATATAGAAAGATAGTATATATATATAGGTATTTTCACTTCTATAACAGAAGGATTCATATACTAAGTAAACATTTCAATGAAACACGCACAACATTTATTCCGATAGGGGAAACAAGAATGAAAAGGTTCATTTCCTATGCATTTCCAAAATTATCCACAAAAACTAAGCTAAAAGAATAATACATTTGATATAATAAAATAAAAAAGAGTGAGTGTCGAGTTGGCGAAGTGGTATCCCTGCTGCCGAGCCGAGACTCAACAGACAAGGATAGAACTAGATGCTTTAGGTATAGAACCACTAATTCAGGCCCGGTCGGAAAGAACATACAAGAAAGTAGTACATATTTTAAACAAAATAGTTCCTACGCATAGCTGTATCTTTGTCAATAGTGGGAATATTTGGGTAGTTTTAGTATCAAATGAAAGCTTTGGGACTTGGGATCACTGTAGAACCCTAGTTGAAAGTTTTATTTGAATAATAAAGAAGTATATGAAATTTTGATAGGAGGGCTCATTTGGCCTGTTGTTCAGATCAGAAGTTCCTGTTTCTGTACTATCAAACTTCCGGGAACCAGTACGCTCTAATATGCAATTAAAGGTATGTTGATTTTTTCAGCACAAGTCAGCATAAGGTACAGTTTTGACATGAAATAACTGCCACTTAATTTGAACTTAAGACAAAGTAGCCATTTATGCTTGAAATTGCAGAATTTAACATAGAAAGCAATGGGGCTATGAATTAGTGGTTTTATACCTATTACTGACAGGCATGTTAAATTCTATTTTTAGAAATCATACCCTTTACAGTGAACATTGGTCACATTTGTTGTCAGAAATCATGTTACATTATTTTTTTTATGTAACAATTATGTTAGTGTCAAATTACAGCCCTCAAATTGCTACACTAAGGTATTTTAGCCTTTTTTGGTCATTTAACATGCACACAGTTAAGATTTTACCTGAAATTTAAATTTTTGGATTATCTAACACTGAAACCAATGAAACTTGTATATTATGACTAGTTTATAGTATAAATATTGTTTTTGGTCAAATTATCTAGTGAGTGTTCATGTTTTATTGTGTTTCTTGGTGAGTTATTTATTTCAAGGAAAATTGGTGTATACTTATATAGGAATTCCAAAATCTCACTTGAAATGCATTTTATAACCATTTTAGCAAGTTGTCTATCTTGGAGATACATGAATTGCTCTTGTTGATCCATGTTTATACATAAAAGTATGTTTTTTTTACCAAATCACTATCCTTTTCCAACATGTAGAAAAAAGGGGGGATACAATTATCAATCATATTTTATGTTTGGACCACTGTATTCATATTCAAGGAAGAATCCCTGATAAAAATAAGACATATAGGTAAGAACACTGTTATTTGAGTAGATATTAACAAATCAGAACTGGTAAAAATTGAAAAAGTGTCATATCTGTCACTATTAGTATCCATATGTAGTTTTCTTTGTTTAACGCATATGTTACTACCAGTCCAATTTGAGCTTGAATTCAGTGATATATTGTTTTGACAAAAGCTTTATGTGTTTTTCTATGCTAGAAATAGATCATAGAAGGAAATTAAGTCAAGCAGAAGTCAATATAACAAGTTTGATGCTGTTATAGGTATAGAACCACTAATTCAGGCCCGGTCGGAAAGAACATACAAGAAAGTAGTACATATTTTAAACAAAATAGTTCCTACGCATAGCTGTATCTTTGTCAATAGTGGGAATATTTGGGTAGTTTTAGTATCAAATGAAAGCTTTGGGACTTGGGATCACTGTAGAACCCTAGTTGAAAGTTTTATTTGAATAATAAAGAAGTATATGAAATTTTGATAGGAGGGCTCATTTGGCCTGTTGTTCAGATCAGAAGTTCCTGTTTCTGTACTATCAAACTTCCGGGAACCAGTACGCTCTAATATGCAATTAAAGGTATGTTGATTTTTTCAGCACAAGTCAGCATAAGGTACAGTTTTGACATGAAATAACTGCCACTTAATTTGAACTTAAGACAAAGTAGCCATTTATGCTTGAAATTGCAGAATTTAACATAGAAAGCAATGGGGCTATGAATTAGTGGTTTTATACCTTTAGGCTCATTAGTAAGTTAATGCTATATGTATATAGTCATTGTATATCCACTACGCTACGGCTCACCCGATATCTAATAGGAAAATTTAACTATTTAAACTGTACTGGCTTTGTTGTGCAATATCCTGTATGTACATACGCATGTGTAATTATCGTCATGCACATATTGTGGGAATTTTAAATACTTTGATCAACATTTCCTTAAAATATCACTGTTAATGAAACTATCATTCAAAATAGGTGAAAAATTCTTGATAAAAATCTAACCGAGGGAGTATAAGATTCGAACCCATATCCCCTCTATTGCAAGTCCAACGTGTCAACCGCTCGTCTATTAAAGAATGTAAACATAATGTTTATAAATTGAAGCTATTTATACATCATGATCAATGATTTTGTTTAACACATGAGTACACGTACGATGAAGAGTATATGAGAAATGACGTATTATTTATTTTTTTCTCTGCAGAGCAGGGAAACTTCGGGTATTTGTTAACATCAACAACAATATTGATACACGACCAGACTAAAAAGAATTTATGCCGAGTCGTCGAGTTTTTCGTATGCTTTTGCACGCCTTGTATCAGCTCCATCCTGTGAAAAAGGGGTATCTTTATTCTTTATCCCATATATGATGATGTATAATGCAACACACTAAGACTAAAGATCATGATAAAAAATAATCCGTAATATAAAACATACAAGAACTGAGAAAAAAGAATTAATTTTAATTCTGCTAAAAAATTTGATTAAAAAAAATTGTACGGAGGACACTTTATTTTTTGTCTTCAGGCGTGCTCTTCCTTTTCACTATATAGAAAGATAGTATATATATATATAGAACCCATATCCCCTCTATTGCAAGTCCAACGTGTCAACCGCTCGTCTATTAAAGAATGTAAACATAATGCTTATAAATTGAAGCTATTTATACATCATGATCAATGATTTTGTTTAACACATGAGTACACGTACGATGAAGAGTATATGAGAAATGACGTATTATTTATTTTTTTCTCTGCAGAGCAGGGAAACTTCGGGTATTTGTTAACAGCAACAACAATATTGATACACGACCAGACTAAAAAGAATTTATGCCGAGTCGTCGAGTTTTTCGTATGCTTTTGCACGCCTTGTATCAGCTCCATCCTGTGAAAAAGGGGTATCTTTATTCTTTATCCCATATATGATGATGCATAATGCAACACACTAAGACTAAAGATCATGATAAAAAATAATCCGTAATATAAAACATACAAGAACTGAGAAAAAAGAATTAATTTTAATTCTGCTAAAAAATTTGATAAAAAAAATTGTACGGAGGACACTTTATTTTCTGTCGTCAGGCGTGCTCTTCCTTTTCACGATATAGAAAGATAGTATATATATATAGGTATTTTCACTTCTATAACAGAAGGATTCATATACTAAGTAAACATTTCAATGAAACACGCACAACATTTATTCCGATAGGGGAAACAAGAATCCCAGCAAACACACAACATTTTAAAAACATTTTTTAAATGTCATATGAACGCCTCTCACAAAATATTTCAATAAGATATCATTTAAACATAAAAAAAATGTTTATTTTATTGTTTTTGAAATGTTTTATTTCTAACATTTAAGTAAAATGTCTTTACAACAATAACAAAATATTATTTGCTAATATCTTTTATTCATGTTCTCAAACATTGTTCTAAAATATCCCGTAGATATTTTATAATATAAAAAAATAATATTTTCTTCAATTGGTATTTTATATTTTAACAACATTTAAAGTAAATATTTTCAAAATATCCAAAAAAACATTCTGCAAAAAAATGTTTTACAGAAAATATAGTTTTGCTATTTGCATAAAATGTTTTATAACGTAAAATTAAAATGTTTTACATAAAACATCTGAAAAATATCAGCTAAATGTTTTCTATAAAATATTTTGACATACACATTATTTGATAGTCTTACTGATATTTTATTCAACATTTGATGGATATAAAAATAACATTTTATTTAAACTTTATTCAAAACCCCACAAACAACGTTTTGTGGAATTAGCTTGTTTTTTTTTCAGGATAAGATATAGTACTGCATTTCATATGCAATATCATGACAAGCAAGATACTATGGTTGAAATCCTTACTTGATATCTTGAAGATCCTTGAAGTCAGATTTTATTCCTTCTTATATTAAAATTCAAAAGAGTCAACATTAAATTAAGCAATAATGTATTAATAAACAATCAACTTTCTTTTATGTTTTTTTCATTTCTTTCGTGTATATTTAAGAAATTAAGAAATGAAAACTGTAACTGTACTGTAAGTTCAATTTTCGTATCGTTTATATGCTTTACGGAAAACCGACCTTTTCCGGAATCGACTTTTGTTTTATCGCCGGAAATGATTTTGAAATTTGAATTTCGAAACGAAGACAGGATATCAACAAAGAGAGCCAAGAAAATTGTTTGTTACGCGATATATACTCACTTGGTAAGAATGATTAATCTGTTAAGATGAAACTTGTGCATTCATTGTGTGTGTTCAATCATAATCGGAACCAAATTACATCTGTTTCTGGAGGTGCGGATCTGGTTTGAAAAAAGGGGGGCCCCTGCCCAAGGCAAGCAAACGTTTGGAGTGATACTTGTAAATAGTCTATACATTTATCTTATAAGTAGTCCATAAGGGGGTCGGGGCCCCTAAATCCGCCACTGTTCAAGCAACTACGTACACCAATTATGAATTTGTTCATTGATATCAAAAATTATAAGGATATGTGGCTTGTGTGTTTGATTGCCAATACACCTTATCGCTATTTGTCCGCCATTACTGGCCATGGACATCACAAAAGTTCCCGTAAAATGTTGACATCATATTAGAAAATATTTGACACCTCAATTGAAAGTAATACACCTTATCGCTATTTGTCCGCCATTACTGGACATCACACAACTGTCACAAGTTCCCTTAAAATTTTGACGTCATCATAAAAAATATCTGATGCCACAATGGAAAAGTGATTGTTGTTTGACGTCAAAAGTTCAAGCAGGATAGATTCTCAGGTCAAGCGGGAATAGCGATAAGGTGTATTATTGTTTGACGTATGCTGACGTAAAAAGTTCAAGCAGGACAGATTTCCAAATACTGAAATAGCGAGAAGGTGTATGAGACAGCTATCCACCAGAATTTAAATGACTTGGATAAAAGAAATTATAGGTCCGTGTACGGCTTTCAAAACTGAGAAAACCAATGCCATATAGTCCACTTTGAAGCCTTGACAAACAAATGTTAAATTTTTCTCAACACAATTGAAACAAAACAACTAACTGCCTACATTAAATGCACATTATGAAAAAGAAATTTCACAGACTTAAACCAACAACAACTATTGCAATAAGCATGACTCAATACCTTGTTTCCGAGGCACACAAACAAGTTACAATAACACTAATATAAGCACCATTTGAATATGGAGATTTTTTTTTCTAGTAAAATCAGTGTATGTATGTATTTGCAAAACAGTAAATTAAATTTCCCTTAACAGCTTAATGAACATTACAAAGACTATGTAAGACTTCAGTACAAGCAAGATAATATAAACTGTTGCTTAAAATTATATTTATTGCTTCATACACACAATGTACAATGTACATACAATGTATCTTTTATTTTTTAACAGGAGCTAAAAGAAAAGCCACAAAGGACAAGTTCAATATGCAGGTTTACAGTTTGGAAGTGGCGCAGGTTCTTTGGAATGTCTACAACCTTTCAGGAGAATTTTTTTTTGAAGTAAGATTTTCATACAGAATTACTGTTATTCCATATTTAATTCAAATATTTAGCATAAACAATGCATTACATTCAAGATTAAAGGCATACAATACAGAAAAGATATCTGGATATTTGAATAAATTATTTTTTTTGTGACAAAATAGAAACAAGTTGTTTATTTAAATCAATCTTTTAGTCCTACAGTGTGCTTTCATACACAACATATTTGCTTTCCTTTGAAGTATTTCAAATACATATAAACAACTCATTTAATGACATCTGTGTGTTTCTCGGAAGTTAAGTTATATTATTATCATCATTGCGAAAACAATGCGTAACACTTCGATAAGTTATTATGTGCCTATAGTATACTTCTAGGACTATATCATATGCCCTTAGATACAAATGACAAGTTATAAACTATGTCACTCTACAGAGTTTAACACTTAAAAAGGACAATAAGATGTTTAATGACGTTATGTAGCAGAGCTTTTAAAGGCCCCTACATGATACAATGCATTTAATGAAAACCAAAAAAAAAAACAAGAAAAACAACAGCCTGATTTATACAAAACAATAAAAGAAAAAAAATATGATAGACAACAATCAACGCGTATAATGAAATAAGACTCTTGACTGGACACATATCTAGTCTAAAGTTTTTTATGTGGTTTTTTTTTAATAACTAAATGAAGTTCAGCGTGGCATATTGCTCTCTCTCTTAACACGGTCAGCCATTTATCGTCCCCTTCCGACAGACTATCATCGTTATTTGTTTCAAAACTTTAAAGGGAAGGGGATGTATATCCTTCAGGCAACGTGAAACGTTCTATAATAAAGGAATGTGCAAGAAGTTTATATATGAATGTAAGATTAATTTTTTTTTCAGAAGCATGGCACAGCAAGAAAAAGATATGACACTACAAGACATTCCAAGTGATTTTGAATAAGACAATTGATTGACTTTTTCAGTGTATTCTTAAATAAATCAAATAGTTGATGTCAAATGGTGTTGATTATTGACTTAAGATGTAACCCTATTAGAAGTGTAGCGTTTTAGTTTAGAAAGAGAAGTTGTATTAAAAAATCTGAATTTGGGACACAAGTTTTAGTCAATGTAACTTGAACTTAAAAATGTGTATAATGTTTGCATAATGTCCAATGGCATATATGTCATGCATGTTCAGGTTGACATATGCATGATGTGTATAAGATAGGTAATAAAAGTTGAGAGTGAAAAACTAAACATTATACCATTGTGGTTGGAATGTGGGCTTTCTTGCACTGTCTGTCGTCTGTCTACCTATATTTGTCGGATTTTGTCCAACAAAATATTTTTTCATCACTGTTTTTCCCAAAACTGCTGATAAAGATGAGTTCATATTTAATGAGCTGCTTGATAGTGATGAACTGTGATGTTTGAACATTTTTGTATCTGGCACCTGTTTCCTGTTTGCTTATACATTGTATTTCAAAATGCTGAATGTTCTCAAATTTTTCATTACTTTAATTAGTAATGCTGATGAACAGAATGACTTCATATTTGGTAAGTGGCTTGACCATGATGAGTTGTGTCTGACATTTTGGATGTGTCAAAATTTGTAGATACTTCTTGTTTTTAAAGACTTTGAATTGTGAATTTCATATGCTTAGCAAAACAACTGGTTTATTCTTGTTTGTATATAGAATTAATCACTGTGTATAAATTAATTTAACTAATGATTTGTTATTTAAAAAAGCAGGAAACTCAATCAAAAGTACAGAAATTTTTATATTGATATGATCTAGATATCAACCAAAAACATCTTCTTAAAACATTTTGAAAACATTTTTTAGGCACAGTCTCACTTGCAAGAAAACATCCAAAAAACATTTTTATAACATTATTTGATGTTCATGATGTTTTTCAAACGTTCAGAAAATATTTCTAGAAAATATTTTTTAAAAGATTATCAAAATGTTTTATACGCCATTTTTTTTTCACATTATCATGATATTTCTTTACAGCATTTTAATTATATTATGCACATATTTTAGAAAATATATTAGAAAACGTTTTAGCGATATATATTCTACCATACATTTAATGTTTTTCTCACGTTTTTTTGTGATATTTTGATGACATTAGACACAACATTTTAAAAACATTTTAAAGATGTTTTTGTGTTTGCTGGGATGAAAAGGTTAATTTCCTATGCATTTCCAAAATTATCCACAAAAACTAAGCTAAAAGAATAATACATTTGATATAATAAAATAAAAAAGAGTGAGTGTCGAGTTGGCGAAGTGGTATCCCTGCTGCCGAGCCGAGACTCAACAGACAAGGATAGAACTAGATGCTTTAGGCTCATTAGTAAGTTAATGCTATATGTATATAGTCATTATATATCCACTACGCTACGGCTCACCCGATATCTAATAGGAAAATTTAACTATTTAAACTGTACTGGCTTTGTTGTGCAATATCCTGTATGTACATACGCATGTGTAATTATCGTCATGCACATATTGTGGGAATTTTAAATACTTTGATCAACATTTCCTTAAAATATCACTGTTAATGAAACTATCATTCAAAATAGGTGAAAAGTTCTTGATAAAAATCTAACCGAGGGAGTATAAGATTCGAACCCATATCCCCTCTATTGCAAGTCCAACGTGTCAACCGCTCGTCTATTAAAGAATGTAAACATAATGCTTATAAATTGAAGCTATTTATACATCTTGATCAATGATTTTGTTTAACACATGAGTACACGTACGATGAAGAGTATATGAGAAATGACGTATTATTTATTTTTTTCTCTGCAGAGCAGGGAAACTTCGGGTATTTGTTAACAGCAACAACAATATTGATACACGACCAGACTAAAAAGAATTTATGCCGAGTCGTCGAGTTTTTCGTATGCTTTTGCACGCCTTGTATCAGCTCCATCCTGTGAAAAAGGGGTATCTTTATTCTTTATCCCATATATGATGATGTATAATGCAACACACTAAGACTAAAGATCATGATAGAAAATAATCCGTAATATAAAACATACAAGAACTGAGAAAAAAGAATTAATTTTAATTCTGCTAAAAAATTTGATTAAAAAAAATTGTACGGAGGACACTTTATTTTTTGTCTTCAGGCGTGCTCTTCCTTTTCATTATATAGAAAGATAGTATATATATATAGGTATTTTCACTTCTATAACAGAAGGATTCATATACTAAGTAAACATTTCAATGAAACACGCACAACATTTATTCCGATAGGGGAAACAAGAATGAAAAGGTTCATTTCCTATGCATTTCCAAAATTATCCACAAAAACTAAGCTAAAAGAATAATACATTTGATATAATAAAATAAAAAAGAGTGAGTGTCGAGTTGGCGAAGTGGTATCCCTGCTGCCGAGCCGAGACTCAACAGACAAGGATAGAACTAGATGCTTTAGGCTCATTAGTAAGTTAATGCTATATGTATATAGTCATTGTATATCCACTACGCTACGGCTCACCCGATATCTATTAGGAAAATTTAACTATTTAAACTGTACTGGCTTTGTTGTGCAATATCCTGTATGTACATACGCATGTGTAATTATCGTCATGCACATATTGTGGGAATTTTAAATATTTTGATCAACATTTCCTTAAAATATCACTGTTAATGAAACTATCATTCAAAATAGGTGAAAAATTCTTGATAAAAATGTAACCGAGGGAGTATAAGATTCGAACCCATATCCCCTCTATTGCAAGTCCAACGTGTTTCTTTTTTTTTATCTTTATTAAAATCAAACATCATATTATACAAGTAAAACAATATATAAAATCAATTGTCCTTGATTGTTGTCATTATATACTAACTTTGTATTTACAATACATCTACTACTGTTAATTCACATTTAAAGTACACAATATAAAGTATATAAACTAATTACAGTTTAAAGACTAGAATATTGTCTGTTTCTTCTAACAATGGGTTATCTAATACAAACTTTTTTTGAAATATATGACTCATATTATGACATCGACAGAGATAGACATGCATATATGTTACATAATGTTTTAATGTATATTGAAATAATTTTATCAAATTTACATTAGAATAACCACTATTCAACAAGTTTCTCCTTCTGTAGATACAGTATCTGGCAACAGACATAAAAAATTTTAGAAACGTATCATTTACACCTTTCATATGCCATCTCAAACCCAAAATCAATAGTTCCTCACTTCTTACTAAACTAATCTTATCTGAATCACAGTTTTCAAAAATTCTAACCAACAAAGATGATAAATATTTATGAAAATCTTGAAGCTTATCACAATTCATAAATATATGCAGGATGTCCTCCTTTTCACTGCAACATACTTTACAAATATTATCATCACCTAAACCTATCTTATGAAGTTTTACATTGGTAAAAATACAGTTATGTAACACCTTAAAGTCTAACTCAACCAAGTTAGAAGGTTTCCAATACATATTAACATGTGTCCATATTTTACTAAATGCTTCAGAACTTACATCAAATTCTGATTTCCATAACTCAATACCAACAGGTTCTTCAACAATATTTTCCAACATAATAGTGTATAATGTTTTAGTACTACATAGTTTCAAATCATAATGCACATTTTTACAAATAATTGAAATGTCTATTGTTCTTGGTATAGATATTCTGTGAATATCAGTGTTCACTGTGTTTTTCCATTCTACAGGTATAACATTCAACAAATTTCTATATCTATCAATTACATACTGTACATTAACATCTTCATATACAACTTGAATCATTTCAACTATAGCATGATCTGGCAAGAAACCAGTTTTTACTTCAAAGCATATATCTTTAAGACAAACAATACCAGCACCTATAAAATCGTGCCATACAATTGTTCTGTTATTAACTATAATATTAGGATTTACAAACAAAGGCTGATCATAAATATTTTCTACAGACAATGAAAACTCTATTTTTTTCCTTATACAATTCAGTGCTTGAAAAAATTCTTGATAAACAACAGGAAGTTTTTTCAATTCACAATTAGGTATCACTGAATAAAAAACATTAAGACAAAGTTTCATATCATAAATTGAAGATACAAAATACTTAAATGTGTATTTCCATAATACTTCATATTCATCATTTAACAATCTGCCTAGAAATTTTAGCCTAAAAGCATATATTTTACATTTGATATCAGCAACATTTAAACCACCTCTACTTTTATCATCTACTATACAGTTATATTTTACTAAATGACATCTATTTTTCCATACAAAATTAAGACAAACTCTTTTTATCTCTATATAAGCCCATTCAGGTAATGCAGTAACAAACAATGCATACCAGAATCTAGATAACATCAGTGAATTTATAACACTAACCCTGCCATGTATAGTAAGTCTTCTCAATAACCATATGTTGAGAAGGGTTTTTATCTTAACTATTTTATTTTTCCAATTCATTTCATCACACATTTTTCTATTTTTTCCAATAAAAACTCCCAACAGTTGAAAATAATCTTCACAAACTTTTAGACCAATGTGATCTTTTTCTAATACAGATAATGTACCGGTACCTAAACATAATATCTCTGATTTTTGTCTGTTTATTCTGGCACCTGTTGCTTTGCTATACAAATCGAATTCCTTAAATACTTCAGGAATTGATTCCTTATTACATAAAGACAAAGTTGTATCATCAGCATGTTGATAAATCAAACCAATCTTGTTACTTTTTGGGATATTAATTCCCTTTATATTTACATTTTGTACAATTTTACAGTGCAGTGGTTCTGCAATAAGTACATATAATAAGGCACTAATTGGACAACCTTGCCTAATACCATTCTTTATGACAAAATACTTTGTTAAAAAGCCATTACATTTGACTGCACTATTTATACCATTATAAAATATACTAATCCATTTCACAAATCTCTCACCAAAACCAAATTTCTTCAATACTTCTAACAGATAAGTATGACTAACTCTATCAAAAGCATTT